GATCGAATGCCTTAATTTGATATAGAAGTACCAAAATAGTCGGGTTTGACCGATCCAACCCGTGAACAATATCATTCGACACTTTAAGGAGAGCTGTTTGTGTACCGTGTCCCGTTCGAAACCCTGACTGTATGTTTGGTATTAACATTTCTCGTTCTACGTAGGTATTAATTTGTTTCTAATTTATTTTCTCAAATATTTTTGACATTGCTTATAAGATGCATATAAAATGATATAAACCGCATGCAGACCAAGGCGCCGATCAAAAAATCTAAATAAAGGGAGAAAAAATTATTTACTATTTTATTTTTAAGTTTTTTTAATACAGTTTAATATAAATAAAATTGAAAACAAATTTCTTGCAGTATAGGTATATAATAAAATTATATAAGGATTCTTTCCACTTAACTGCTGATATAGAAATTTAATTCTACGCTGTGTTTGTCATAATGTGGACCAACCTGCTCTCACTACCGGTTTCGGAGTCCTACTCCAACATCAGGTGAGCTTGGGCATATCCACAAAATGAAAATCACAGCGCAAGGATAGTTAATTTCGACATGTCGGAAAGTGCCGGTTAGATTAAGTCCCGAACGGGAGATAGTGGCCTGCGTGCAATGGTAGTACTTTCGACTTTAGAATTAAATTTCTTTATCAGCAGTTAAGTGGCAAGAATCCTTATATAATTTTATTATATACCTATACTGCAAGAAATTTGTTTTCTATTTTATAATTTGGCTTGCCTGAAAAAAAAGCCTTTTACCATCTTTTTACTATCGATAGTTGCGCCTCGGTGGTACGAAAGTACTACCATTGCACGCAGGCCGCTATCTCCCGTTCGGGACTTAATATCTAACAGACACTTTCCGACCTGTCGGAATTAACTATCTCTGCGCTGTCGTTGTCATTTTGTGGATCTGCCCAAGCTCACCTGATGATGGAGTAGGGCTCCGAAACCGGTTGATCCACATTATGAAACACAGCGTAGAATTAAATTTCTATATCAGCAGTTAAGTGGCAAGAATCCTTATATAATATAAATAAATGTATTGTTTAAGTATCTGTAGAGGTTAGTAATGTATGGCTATCGTTTCTTTCCATTTAATAAACGTAAGCAAAAATTAAAAAAAAATAAAAAAAAATAACAAACTTTTAACTTCTCCTCTAATTATATCTCAAAATCTGCGAATAATTTCATTTTGACCTTCGATTATCATCCATCCAGGAAAATTTTGGTTAGAAAAAAAAACAGTGTGTGCACTATGTGCACATATTTGAAGTGAAACTTCTTACTAACAGCTATTAAATTAAAGGATTTGAAGGACATGTTTGTAAAAGTGCAAATGCAAATGCCTAATAACGTTAACGCCCCTTGAAATTTATTTAAGAAGAGAGTTGCCGGATAGTCCTAGTCAGGGGGGTGACAGTGAAATAGGAAAATTGGAAACAGTCATTAGTGTCATTCCTGTCATCTCCTGACGACAAGTATGGCCGCCTAGACAAGGACAGCAATGTTTCTATCTAACTATTGTCTAACTTCACAGTTTAAAATTGACAGATTTGTTCTAGAACAAAAAACAAATTTCGACGCCATTTTAATTTTCTCCGTTCTCTCCGTTTAGTTTGGTTTTGTAAATTCAATTTGATATTTCAGCTGGAATTTATAAATATAAAGGTAATAAAGCTTATAAAATATATATTGCATGAAAAATCCTGATGATGATCCTGCTCAAACCACTCAACGTAAGAAGCTCAATTTTGGCATACAGGTTGATTCTAGGGTGTAGAGGTTCGATAAGAAGGGATTTTTCGAAATTCCAGTTCCAAGAGGGTGAAACCACCCCTCAATTATTACAATATTTTTATTTAAAAAACGGCCAAGTTTCCGAAAAAACGCTTAAACACGTATATTTTATTTTGTTTTTTTTACATATTTTAAGATTTTTTAAAAGTGTATACAGGGTGTTTCGAAAAATCTGGTCATTGATTAATCACGATCCTGCTTAAAGCGCTTGACGTAAAAACCTGATTTTTGGAAAACAGATTGACTTTAGGGTGTCGAGGTTCGATAAGAAGGGATTTTTCAAAACTCGAATTCTAAGGTGGTGAAACTGTCCCTCAAATATTAAAATATTTTTTATTTAAAAACCGGTGAGTTTTTGGGAAAAACTCTTAAACAAGTATATTTTATTTTGTTGTTTTACATATTTTAAGATTTTTTATAAATTTATACAGGGTGTTTCATAAAATATGACCACTGAGTAATGACGATCCTGCTTAAACTGCTTGACGTTTAAAGTTGATCTTTGGCAAACGGATTGACTGTGGGGTGTAGAGGTTCGATAAGGAGCGGTTTCTCGAATCTCAAATTCCAAGAGGGTGAAAACGCCCCCCAAATATTACAATATTTGTTATTTAAAAAACGGTTAGTCTTTCGGGAAAACGTTTGGACAAGCTTAATTTATTTGGTTTTTATATATATTTTGATTTTTTTTAATAATCATACAGGGTGTTCCAAAAAGTTGGGTAATTTCTTATCCACGATTCTGCTTAAACTGCTTGACGTAAAAAGCTTATTTTTGGCAAACGGATTTTTTGAAAGTCAAATTCCAACGAGATGAAACTACCCCTCAAATATTACCTAGTTATATAATAATATCGCCATATTGTTTTTTCTCATGCTGACATAAATGTGAGAAAATTTTATCCAGTTTGTATGTTAATGAAAATTCTTGCTTTGCTTTATCATCACCATTACAAATGATTAATTCGACGCGAACGAAGTCGCTGGTACACGCTAGTAATACAACAAATCTGATAATACAATCTGATTGTTATCCGACTGAAAGTCTCTTTTTGCTTCTTTTGGATTTATAAACCAGGTCTCTTTGACAATAATGGACGCTTTTTTGAAATAGTATATTTATATTTTATACCTATTAATATTTTTACATTGTTAATTTTAGTATAAAAAACATTGTTTTTCTGTTTTTCGGTTTTTGTATAGGCTCCCGTTTTCATGTTTCTGTCCCCGTTTTCTGTCCCTGAAGGCTGTGAATACGTGTATTTATTTACAAATGACTGCAGAGATGACTGTAAGTCATGCTTATACCTTACTAATTTACGTCAAAACTGCATATAATTAAGTAGTTGACATAGAAATCATACAATCCTTTATTTTTTATATTTATTTAGTCCATTTGTCTCATATTTCAAATAAATAAGTTTGAACAAATTTTTATTTTGTTTTATTTATGATAAGAAATGTACAAAATACATTTAAACTGAAAGAAGGCCCGCCATTGAATAACCGGAAACGGAAATAAAAATGAAGCCATCATGTCAACCTGTCAATTGGAAAATTAGTTCTCCAGACGACAACGAAGGCTTTCGGTAACGTATCCTGTTTCCACGATTTACCACAGAGTTGACACTTCTTTCTAGTTAATTATTTTATGGTCCTAGTAGCTTAGGTCTTTAAATTAATTAAAAAAAGGAGAAATTTTCAACCTAACCAACAATTTGTGTGTTTACATGTTTTTGTTTACATGTTTTGTTCATTATTTATAGTGATTTACAGTATTTTTGTTAAATTATACAAATATTCTCGTTGATTATTGGTTCGAAATAAATATTACAATGTTTTCCAATGAAAATGCGAGTTGCTTAACTCTAATAATTCTAATTATGAGCTAGCAAATGAGCTAGATGCTGTATCTAGACCGTAATTCAGAAGTTCAGAAGCTACAAACTTATCGATGAAAATATGCATTAAAATTTACTTCTTAGCACACAGCCAGAGGATATTGGTACACATCAGGTATACTATGAAGTTTATTATAATGATTTTCTTAGCTTTAAATGATTTTTTTTGGTGATTGGGCGATCGTGCGATTCCCTAATACCACTTATTTCTCACTAGCTTGTCCGTCAAGGCCGTGAAGTGTTTGGTTTGGTTTGGTTGTGACACGTGACACGCCGCGGCCTTGAATTTTTACTCCCATCCTGCGTAAAGAAGTTTCACTTCAATAATCATATACAGAAAGTTTGAGGATTGTTGGTTTTATCTTATTAAGTAATTGTTAATTTTGAAGTTTAACTTGATATAATATCATTTTAACAAAACTCTAACGATTTTTAATAGACGTATCTGTTGAAAAAAGCCTAAAGTATTCTTTTAGAGCTGCAGTAGAACTATTAATATTTATAAAACAGGACCAATCAATATGATCCCAGTATTCGAACTACATTAATTGACTATTTGCGTTGATTAATAATTGTTCCAAATACTAAAATACTGAATTTTGGATGTGTATGAGACAATGTGGTAAAAAGTAACACCTAAATTTTATGTTAATTTTTGTCGTATGCTTATTTATAACAACAGAGATGTTGACATTCATAACTTATTAATATATTGATTTCTGATTCAAATCCACATTTATTTAGAATCCATCCATCCATACCCATTAATATATAAAAGCTCAAAGGGTTTTTTTGTTACATCCATCCCGCCGAAACCGCTTCACCAATCTTGATGGTTCTTTTTTTAAATGAAAGGTATATATATAATAATATATATATAAAGGTATATAAATATATAATCGGTATGTGTATTTTAAGACGCATGTTGTCTCGCTCCGAATAAGCCTTTAATTTTACAAGTTATAGTTGATAAAAAATTGCAGTTTTTTGATAAGTGGTATATTTTGTGACACCATTCTTAATGAACTAATTTTCAAGTGGATATTTGCAGTGAAAATTGAAATAACTAAGATTTTGCCCTGAACAATAGTGCTATCAGTAAAAAAACAAGTTAATCTCAATTGGAATTTCTGCCTTCATTTTTTGTGCCTTTTTATGGTTTATGGTACGAAGTGAAAATATAAATAAACATGGATGGCAATGAACTTGACCAAAACACATGTATTAAATGTAAACAAACATGCAATGAAGATTTTTATAAATGTGATTCATGCTTAAAGAAAATTCATAAAGAATGCTCCAATTTATCCTCATCTGAGGCGCGTTGCATGCCATTGCAAAAGCGAGTACTACTATTTATTTGTGAAAAATGTAGAAAGTTCATAGCAAGAATGCCCTATATAGTAAAGTTGATTGAAGATATGAAGAAAGATATAGAAGCTTTAAAAAAAACGAATCACCTGAAAGAAACCTATGCTGATACTCTTAAGACTGCAGTAGTAAAAATGCCGATTGTAAACACAAACTTGCCAACTTTGATTATTAAGCCTAAAATTGCTCAAAATACTGAAAAGAGCCGGAAGGAGATACAAAAATCTATAAATCCAATTAGTTTAAATATAGGTATAAGAAACCTAAAAGAAACCAGAAAGGGAAATATAGTGCTAAAGTGTGACACTGAGGGGGAAATAGGGAGGTTAGAAGAAGAAATAGGAAAGAAATTGGGAGGAAAATATGAGACTGATAGACCTAAAAAAGTGTTTCCAAAAATAAAAATAGCAAATTATACTGGAGGAGAATCATCGGATGTACTGGAAAGCATTATAAGAAAGCAAAACCCGTGGATTAACAGAGATGAACATCTAAAAGTAACATTTATAAGAAAATTTAGGAACAAATCAACCTTAACAATTTATGCTGAATGCTCGGGAAGTTTGTATGTTAAAATGTTAACTTATGGAAAAATATACATTAACTGGGAGCGACTACCTGTGTATGAAGATCTTACGATATCAAGATGCTATCAATGTCAGGGTTTCAACCACAAAAACAATAAGTGTACACGAAAACAAGTATGTGGAAATTGTGCTGGAAATCACGTTACAACTGAATGTGAAAGTGAAACTAAAAGATGTATAAACTGTATGACTGCCAACAAACAATACAACACTGAATATGAAATTGATCATAGTGCTCTAGATGCAAGTTGTCCATCGCTCGAATACCACATAAAACTCCTAAGAAGCAAAACAGACTATAATACTTAGTCACATGGTGAATCATTTGCAGGATGAAGTTCTTAATTTAATTAATGAAGATAATGATCTCAGAAGTAAAAGCGTGGATATTGCTGAAATGGAGGAACTGCTGTCTAATGATGATTGTTTTTTAAGGATAATTCATTTTAATATAAGAAGCGTTAATAAAAACATTGACAGTTTACTTACTTTTTTAGAGTCATATAATTTGAGGTATATGGATATTGTTATATTAAGTGAAACCTTTCAACTTGCCACTACAACAAATTGTAATATACCGGGATATCAAATTTTTTATAACAAAGCAAAATTTAATAAGAATGATAGTGTTATGATTTTAGTTAGGGAGGGTATTGTTGTTGATTTTACTATTAGGTTTTTGAATATTTCCCGGGCAACGCTAGGAAGAATAACGTTTCAGATAAATGATATATCTTTTGGGTTGACGGCAGTTTATAAGCCCCCACCCATACCAAATAAAGACTTTACAAATGACATACATAGTTTTCTGGGTAATGAAACAAGGGCGAATATTGAAATTTTTGTAGGAGACATTAACATAAATTTATTGGATAATAATGACAATAATGTTATCGAATATTTGGCTCTAATGAATGCAATTGGTTATCAGTCATATATTAATTCCGTTACGAGATCTCTATCTGAAACATGTTTAGATCATATATTTGTTAAAAATAGTTTTCATTTAATTGGCCTTCAGCTAAATTCCTTTGTCATTCATGAAGATATAACAGATCACAGTCCTGTTGTGCTCACTGTAAGTAGGGTTAACTCTGCCAAAAAAATTCACAGTCCTTTACAAAGATGCAACCGGGGGGGCATTGAAAATGATGAGTAAAAACGTAAAAATATGATTAGTGTTAATATGAGTGTATTACATACATATGTTTAAATAACGAACTTAACAAAAAACAACAGATTTAAACATTCACTGAAAAAGTAGTAATGTTAACATTAAATAAAACATTATCAATAATAATTATGCGATCGCACCTTATCCCTAAAACAAGCAAGCAAAAAAACCTCGAAAAAAACAAAATAACATACAAAACATCAGGTTAACATGATGACAGATCATGATCAATGACAGATAAAGAATTCTTACGGAAAGTTACACTTTACGATATAATTTTTTAACTGTTAAAGGCAAACCCCATTTAAACACAAAACTTTTTAATACCTACTACTGTATCTAAAAGACTTTTTTTTTAAATTACTAAATTCTTAGCCACGCTTCTGTTTTTCTTGGCTGTTGTGCGTCACGTCAAAGATTAACAGGCCCACGTTTGCACCACAAGGCGATGCTGCAGACCACTAGGTAGACCGGTCGTAGAAATTTATGTTATACAACTTGTAGTCAATCTACACAAATATTATCAAAAACTTTTTACTTTTAAAATGTGTTCAGATTTTGTAAAAAGTATAGGTCAAAATCGCAAAACTTAAATTTGATATGAGTTTCTTAGTTTTTAACTAATATAGTGGCGAATTACAAAAATTCCTTTTCAATGAAAATTAATGAGTTAAATAAAATAATTTAATAAATTACTAGCTTTTTCTCGCGACTACGTTCGCGTTACACCTCGAATCGTTCATGCATTGATTTAAATGATTTTTACTTCTTTATAGAGAGCTAGTGAGCATAGATGTTTTTTATTTTTCATCTTTTTTTTATTTATTAAGAGCACTAATACTCTCTTTATAGGCTATTTTTTATTCTTTGAAGGATAATTGAGAAAGATATATTTCGTTATGATGTCACTAAATAAACCCTTGTATAAAATTTTATACTGTCTGGTTTATAATGTTATAGTATTGCATTTTCGTACAGCAAACTTTCATTCCCTATTCTACTCTCTAAGGGTATAAATTTCATAAATTCGCTTTACCTTTGTGCCAATTTTTATGTGTATAATCCAGAGATCACCAAGTTTTATATAAATTTTTACTAACTTTACCCATTTGGTTGATGAATTTCAAAAATTTCTTCTAATTCTTTTTATAGGATTTCATTCTTCTAGACCAAATAGTAAGGCATTTTCATACAACAAACTGTTCCGAGATAATTTTACTCTCTAAGAGGATGAATTTCCTAAAATCGCTTTGTGTAACTAATTCACTAATGTCGTTTAAACGAACCTTTGTGCTAATATTTATGTATGTAAAGCTGGCGGCATGAACTCACTCTAAAATATCTAAAAACGCAATATATAATCTAACTGACACACCACTGACAATGACAAATAATTTATTTCTGGAGGTATTGTGTGTAGGTGTTTTTCAGGTATGTTTTAGTATTTAGTCGTTTTACACAAAGAAATAGCCATTAAGCACTATAAAAATACTTCATAACAAATCTACACATTTAAAAAAAGAATCATCAAGATTGGTAAAGCGGTTTCGGCGGGATGGATGCAACAAAAAAACCCTTTGAGCTTTTACATATGTATGGATTAATTATTTTTCCAACATATTTTACTTTGCAAATTTTTATAAATATTCAGACTCGCCAATATCGTACTCCACCGTGTCCAGCCTGTTTAGCCAAACGTAAGCCGATTCCTCTTCGGCGGCGTCGTGACCCTGGCCGAAGGAAGAGTCTTGAAGACGCTCATCCGCGCATAGGAATAAGTTGACTGCGTAGCGTATTGCGTATTAATCGATTCTGAAACTTTCTATTTCGTGTATAACATGTTACGCAAGTTTATTATTTTAATCTCGATTTTAATGGATAAATGTGTGAAATGCATGAATAAGGAGAAATTAGTCTTATTTTGAAAGGAAAATATAGAAAAAACTCTTTTTATAGAAAAAGTCTTTATACTAACCAGAATCCGGTGACATATATGCGGTCTCACCGGAAACATTACTTATTACTTCGCATAACTTGAAGAATATCTACTTTTAATAATGAACACTTCAGAAATACACCAGTAAGAACATTTATTATTTGAGATTAAAACTCGAATTAAATTATAAATATTAGTTACCTATGTTGTTATAGCTTTTATAGGCCTGTTTAACGACTTAATAAGTTACCTAGCGAAAAAAATCTGTGCGCGTACCTACCACTATTGTTACAGGTTAATTCGTTAAAGAAATATGTTACACAAGTTAAAAAACGCTAAAATTTTAATGGTATTACTTGTGCATTATTGGCCTTATAATGTAATTTGTTGGAATTATATCTTCTTTAAATATAATTAGACTTTTTACCGACTTTTAAGTTACCTAGGAAAAAATCTGTGCACGTACCTACCAGTATTGTTACAGGTTAATTCGTGAAACAAATGTGTTACATATTATTCGTGGTATCAGTGGTATTATATTGGAATCAGCTTGGCATTAGTGGGGCATTATATGAGACATTTTGGTATTTAATTTGTATTTTTGTCATTATTTTGGCATTAGTATACAGACATTTGTCAGCGGTTTACTCTTTGTAGATAATCAAAAAGTTTTTTGATAAAATTTGCTTTTTATGTCAGATCATTTCTATGAAAAATTACATTAGATTTTTATTAAAGACGCTGGGTAATTAAAACATTGACTAATAAAGCTTGTCCACTTTAAATAAGGGGTCACGAAATATCCTCCTTGGAGTGTTTGGGTTAAGGGGTGTATAATAAATTAATCGTTGTTTTATAATAAAAACCATAAAACATTTTTTTGTGAGTAAAATAATGCAATGGTTGGATATCTCTCCTTTATAATTAGGTGACTAAAAATACACTAAAATAATCTTGTACTTATTTAGTAATTACGTCAATATTAATTAATTGACTTTCTAATCTATTCTATTTTATGTACAAATATATTATTAAATTTTAAGCATTAAGTAATAAAACACTTTGTGCCCTCTTATATCGTAAGAGGTTACGAAATATACTCCTGGTTACACTCCTTACAGAAAACAGTGTAAGGGGTGTAAATAAATTGTATAATCACTGTTTTTTAAAATAAAAACTATAAAACATTTCTTATTTGTGAGATTAAAAAAACAAAACAATGCATTGGTTAACATAAGTACATTCAATACATATGTGTTATAACATAATATGTGTTATAACATAATATAGCCATTACTATTATTACCATTATTATTAAAATAATATGTGTGTAACATATTTCTTTAACGAATTAACCTGTAACATGTATATGCTCAGTATATTTTTGTTTAACAAACCAATCAGGAAAAATCCAAAATCTACCGTTATAGGAGGTATAAGATGATTAAACTTATATAATGACAACTACTTATCGGATAACAAATTAATTACTACTGTCAGCTAGTTCAGCTACTGTCTAGGTAGAATATACCTAGAGTACCTACACCTACCTATGATGTAGGTAGATTAAAGCTTATTTTGACGTTACCTCTCACTTCGGTGTCACAAGCTGAATTTTTCAGGGATGGAAGTACAGTACATGATATGGGGACCCTTATTCCGAAAGTAGTACAAAATTAGACCGGGTAAAAGGGCACTATCATCAAAAATCGATATATTAATACCACCGTATAGAGAAAACAAATACTTATTTTTTGATCCAGTACACAATAAAGTCTTCGTAGGGAGTAATTTTTATAATTATTTACAATAAAACATTTCCATTAGCGCTTATGACCAAAAAAAACTTTAAACATGAATAATCATTTCAATCTTGCGAAAATTTGGTTTAAAATAGATTTTTTAATATAACTTTATTTAACGAAAAACGAAGGCCTAAATGAAAAAAAGAAACAATTTAAAAGTTTCGCTTATGTCTTGACAAGGTATCAAAGCAAACCCCATATTTTTTCCTTTTAAACTAATAAAGATATATCAATAAACAATTAGCGATGTAATGGTTTTTGCGCGCGCTGGCCGACTGCCGCCGCTGCGCCGAGATTTCCTATACCCTTGTATATATGACGTCATGGTGTGGCAAATGTAGCATTTTAATTCGATTTGGGCTCCCTTATATAGGATAACAGAAACATTTTCAATGTTAAAACACTTAATCAGGAACATCAAATAAAATCGAAAATAAATATAAATAAACTAATAGACCAATTACGACAGTGTGATTGGTCAAATGTTATTGATAAAACTGACCCTCAAATAGCTACACAATTGTTTTTATCTACTTATATGGAATTACTTTCTAAATCTACTGAAACATATACAATTAATGTTAAAGAATACAAGAAAATAAAAAATTGGATTAGTGTTGGTATTGTAACATCTATTAAAAAAAAGAGATAAAATGAAAAAGAAACTAAAATTATCTAATTATAGTACACATCTCGAAAAAGAATATAAAGAATACAGAAACTATCTAAATAAATTGATTCATAAACAAAAAAATAATTATTATAAAAATCAAATTGATAAAAATAAAAATAATTTAAAAAAAATGTATCAAATCGTTAGAGACGCAACTTACGAAAAAAATGTGAAGGCGAAGGATTCCATAGATATTAAAACCGATCTGGGGGAAAATTTTACAAATTTTCTAGACATGGCAAATTTTTGTAATGACTATTTTGTTAACA